ATTTATTTTTTTATTTAAAAATATCAGAAAATGGACATCCAGTTGCTTTAAGACTGTCCTTTCTTAATATTGATAAATATATATTAAAATATGATTGAAATGATTTAAAAATAATATATTAAATTTATAAATAGGATTTTCATAAAATAAATAAATATTATTTATATATATTTATAAGACTTAGATAAATATTATTTATATATATATGTTGACATTAAATAATAATAGTAATACTAATGATAAATATATATAATCATAAATATATGAAAGTAAAATATGATTAATAAAATTAAAATATAGTATTAAAATATAAAAAGTAATAAAGCTTGTAAAATAAATGAAAATATTAATCTTAGGGACTAAATTATAATCTAATAAAATTAAATACCTAATTTATAATTAATTATTTAAAACTACATGGATTAGATATGCTATTTTACCAATTTATTAATTTAGGGACTAAAATAAAACTATATAAAACATCAGTTATTAAATGTAAAATATTAAAATTTATAGACCTAATTCGAATTATTAAAAATATAGGTATTAATAGTGTAGTTTGACCTAATTAATTATTGGGGATCAAAATAAAAGTAATTAAAATTACCAGGGACTAAATAAAGTATTTATCCTAAAATATATATAACTACTGGAAAGGACTAAATTATAAAGTAAATATAATTTAATACTAAATTGAAATGTTTAAAAGTCAATTTCAATGACTAAATTGCAAAGTGTACAGACGTGAAGCACTGCGGATGGGGTTTACCCCTATGAGAAATTAAAGAAACACCCTCACCAAAACGACGCCGTTTTGGTGAGGGTATATATACCCTTTAAACCGGCCCAAAGGGCCATTATTCTCTCATTTTTCTTTCTGGTTCTCTCTCTTCAGAGAGAGAACCTCTCGTTTTTCTCTGTATTTCCCTCATCTGAGGGAATTCCGGCAGCCGCCGGCAGCCACATGCCGTCGCAAGCTCCACCGTCGGCCACCACCACCGGTGGCCGAAAAATCCCAAATTTACCTAAAATATAGATCGGAATACCCTAAGGCCGATTCCAGTCTTTACTTTCCCTAAAAACCTTCGAAATTACCTAGATCTATGGAAATACGTTCGGTATTTCGGTTTCTTTGATGGCTCGTGTAGGCTCCGATGGATGTGGTAAGCCTTCTTTTCTCTCTTCTTTACTATTATTTGTTGGTATGGTTGTTGTTTGGATCTCCTTTGCTTGCTGTCCTTTCCTCTTTTAGTTGTTCTTGCTCGTTTGTTCTCTGTTGCTGTTCGTATCTCTCTCTGTCGCTCTCCCTTCTCTCTTTTACAGGTTTGGTGGCTTTATAGCCACCATGGTAATGGCCTCGAACCAGTCCAAAAGGGGCTCTTTGGTGAGTCACCAGACTATGGCGGTGACTCACCATAGAGTTTTAGCGTGGAGGGGCAGCTGGATCTTCTGGAGCGTTCTATTGAAGCGGTGGCAGTAGCTTCCTGAGGCGGCGGAGTGGTGGCAGCAAGGGAAGCGGCGACGTGGCCCTAGGGTGATGATACCCTAGGGTTTCCTCTGGAGGCTTCTGGACCGTTGGATCTTATCAGATCCAACGGTGGATGATTGTTGACGGCTGGAGCAGAGATCAAACCCTAATCAGTTTAGGGTTTCCATTGGGCTAGCTTAGTTGGGCCAGAATTGGGCTCCGGGTATTGGGCCTGTAATATGTAATAATAATATTTATTAATAAAAATATAATAATAATAGTAATAATTATAATAATTATAATAATAAAATATGAAAAAATTTAATGTCTACAGACTAGAGTGATTACAAGGAAATATCTGATTATAATTTTTTTAGTCATTGACAACACACACACACACACATTCGCATACGCAACTGCTTGAACTTATAACCTTTAGTAAGAAGATAGTTTCATTTAAATATTTAGTCATTTGCATTTATATTAATTTTTTAATAATCTAAAGTGATTACAAGATAGTATTTGTTCATATTTTTTTAGTAATTGACAATACACAAACCCTACAAACACAGTTGCTAGAACTCAGGATCTCAATGGAAAACACTCCCTCAATAAATTGTATTAAAATTAAAATTTGAATATAAACAACTTAACATGCAATTTACACTATGATGTTCTATATTTCATTAAATATATTACATGGTTCAAAAAAATTAAATATAATAAATAATAAATATAAATTAAAAAGTTATGCCCAAAACCGATTTCAAACGTAAACTTATATTTAGTAATATCTTTCTTATATATTTATTTAAATCCTTTTTAATTTTACCAAAGTGATTAGTTTAAGTGATAAGTAATTTAATATCGCTTAAATATATTTGGAGTTCGAGTTTTTGTATATACAATCTTTACAGGAAAATTCACCTAGCAATAACCATGTATACAACGCAGGTCAATCCAAATTAATTAGGACAAATTCTTTAGAACCAGGAGCAACCAAAAAAACTTTTTCTAATTTTAAATAATCTATTATAATTTTGACCAACTTAAATAAATAACTCAATTTGTAAATAAATTTAATAATACAATCTAAATTTTAAAGAACATACATTGCACTCTATAATTTTTTTCTGAAACTATTCATCAAATTTTTAAAATTTTTAATTTTTTTAACTTAAACTATCTCATATCTTTTGAAAAACTTCATTAAAAACCTTACAAATTGAATTGTTTTAAATTAAGTCTCTATCAAAATCTGTCTCTAAAGTTCAAACCTTAAATTTTGAGAGCAATATGTTCTTTTACCATAAAGGGAAGATGGAAGCGGAAAGAGAAAGAAGAAGGGACACTCGTTGTCGCAGTCCAACCAACGTTGCCCAACGCCGTCGATCTGGTTCTGGGTGTTTTTGGATAACGTAAATGAATCCATCATCAAACGTTGCAGGAAGCGTTCCAAATGTACGGACTCGTATCGTACTAGATGCCTTTATCTCCCACAATAGTCAAAAAATGAGAGAGAAGCCAACTACATTTGCTTTTGTTAGGTTCGGAAGTATGGTTGAAGCTCAACGTGCAGTCGCTGAAGGCATTAGAAGAATAATGGATGGGTTTCATGTTAGAGCGTTCTACGCAAGGAGTAGTACAGGAATGCAACCCAAATCAAGCAGCAACTCAGGAGTGCTCAAGACTTTCAAACCAGGATGGAGAGATAGGGAGGTTCTGATTGTCTCTTCGAAGCCTGTACAAGCGTTGACTCAGCTTGTTCCAGCAAATATCTCGAGGTAGAATGATAGCAACGAGGGCAGTGACAAGGTGACCGATGTTGTTATGGTGAACGAAAGTGTCCATGAGATACTAGATTCGTCAAAAACCATTAATTTTAGAATACCAGTCTCAGATGTGAGTCGGAGGGGATGTTGCTTAGTAGGGCATATCAAAGTGAATAAGTGATATATAGCCTTGAAGTGGTACAAGATGCATTGGAGTCAGATGGTTTTAATGTAAGGGTGTGCCCGTGGTTTGGCCTTCTTGTGGTCATCTGATTCTTCCTTGGAGGCTCGCTCTCAGTACTAGGCAAAAAGAAAGGGGATGCTAAGTCTATGGTTTGAACTTAAACTATTGGAAGGCTATGATGGAAAGAGGAGAGTAAAGATATGGGTCCTGCTTGAGGATGTCCCTTTACTTGTGTGGGATAAATTTTTCTTCAAGGAGCTAACATGTAGGTGGCGTGAAGTAAGACAGATCAATGAAGAAACGCTTAACCTAAAGCGTTTTGATCGTGCAAAGGATTTGATGTCCGTTCAAAATGTGTCAAAGATCCCTGGAAGTGCATCTATCCTTGTCAACAGGTCCATACATAAGATAAAGGTCAGTGCATAGGAGTTCGACGTTGACCAATTGTTCATTTAGGGCATCTCCTTTTGGGTCACAAGGGGAAAAAGTATTGGACGCCTCGGTCGTTTCGATTCTTATGAAAGCCCCGATGTGGCCCATAATGAAGATGTCACTTTAGTGTGTTGCGACAACTTGACAGAGTCAAACGGGGATCCTAATGTTCCAAGCGAAAGCATCCCACATGGAGACCTAGTCTTCTCTAGTGGAGAAGGCTGCATGATGTCCCCATTAATTTTGGAATGGAACCAATTTCCATAAGTGGAGAGATTGCAAATGAGCCGGATTCCAATGATTTGGTGGATGTAAGTAATGTAAGGATCCCTAAAAAGTCAATGTCCAACTGTTCCAATCTCCAGGAGGTTCCCATTGAAATTGTTGGTGTGGGCATTTCTAATTCATTTGAGCTTTCAATTAGAGAGGCTCTCAATCCGTTTCCTGAGGCCCAATGCTCAGGGCCGATTCGTTTGAATGGAAATAGAAATTTGGGCTTGAATGCTATAGTGGATAGTTTCAATAATCCTCACAAGAAGTCTAATTTATCCAACAAGAGATAGAAGCCTAAAGTGTCCGTGAAAAGACCAACCAACAAAGGGAAAAGGGCTATCATAGTGAACCTAAACTCTCTAGATACCTTCTCCATAATATTTCTGACGGATGCTCCGTTGGAAGGGTCAGACCAGAAGCCGAAGTAACTCTTGAAACAAGTAGAATCATGGGTGCTTCGTATGATCGTTAATATAACAAATTAATTAAATCAACTTTTTTTATTTGGAGAACCAAATTGACTTTTTTTTAAAGTCCAGAAACTTATTTAATTTTTTTAGGAAAAAATAAATTTATTTTAATTTTATAATATAAAATATAAAAATATTTAAATAGTCAAACATTGATAGTGAAATTTAACCATTGTTTTCAACGTTGCTATAAGGTCATCACCAATTTTGCCACATGCCAAGTAGAAAGATCAAAGTCAAAGGATCCAAAATGTCCACAAAAGCTATTAATCATGTTAAAGGGCCATTAAAATCTCATTAAAGTAAATTAGTAATAATAATCTCTCCTCAAACACATGTTTGACATTTTCCCTGAAGCAGCATTGGGTTTCCTATAAAAGAACCCTCCGCTTGTTCAATCGCCATCTTCAAGGAAAATCAATGGCAGGTGGAGCTCTTTTTCTGGGTTTAGTTTTGGTTTTGGCTTACTTTTCGGAGACATGCTTCGCGATGATCACTTTCTCTTCGCTGCAAAGAACGCTCGTTGTCACTGCTTCTCATCCACAACGAAGTTAGTAAATCAATCTCATACTTCTTTGTTCCGATTTTAGTGATAACTTGTTGAAAATTAGTCTACTTTTTTGGTTTTCTTATCTTCGTTTGCAGGATGAACTTGGGGTTGGGATGGGTTTGTTAATCTAAGTTTGAATCTTTTTAAGGGTAAACTACTCGTCTAATACACAACCATCATTTTTGTTCTGGTTTGGTCAGCAATTTTTTAAAAAAATTATATCTGATATTTAATTTTCGTTCTTTTCATACGTCAATTAAAAATTAACAATGATTTTGACATGTCACCGTAAGATAATTCCATATTATCATTGAAAAAAATACCACATCAATAGTTTTGTTAATTTTTTAACGTTGATTTACCAATAGTGGCGAAACTTGGTGGTGCGTTTGGAGAGCCATATTAAAATTTATAAAATTGACAGGTTTAAATTAAAATTTTCAAAAATTTTAAAGTTTTTTATTTACTTTTTTCCATAAAAAATTATGGTCTAATTAAAATTATTTCGAAATTTTGAGAATCTTAATGAGGATTTTTAAAAATTATGGGAGGGGTTTAATTAAAAAAATTAAAAATTAAGCTTAATATAAATTTTTAAAAAAAATTGAGGAGATAAATTATTATTTTTTTGAAATTTTTAAGAATTTAAATTATAATTTTTCAAACTTTGGAGGGGGTTGGTGGCTCCTAGGTCTCTATTGTGTATCGTCATTGTATGTAAAGTTTAGTTTTCGTTTCATTTTGATCACTCGTCATTAAATAATTAACGATGATTTGATGTGTCACTATAAGATTATTCTACATCATCATTGAAAAATAAATAAAAAATAATACATTAGTAGTTCTGTTATTTTTTAATGAACAGTGTCCGAAATTAAACCAAAACGTAATGTTAGGTATTATTTAAAAAAAATAGTTGAGTGCCAAAACGGAACTAAAGTGATAGTTAGAATACTGAATATGTAGTTTACCCTTGTTTTAATAATCCCATTTTTTTTATTTTATTTAAATTTAAATTTAAAACACGGATAATCTATTATAGTTTTTAAGCATATTATTACCTTTTTGTATCATATAACTTAATTGAAAAATACAAGTCTGTAGACTGGAATCAAACTGTGTTATGTTTACTTAATCTATTTCTTCTAAGTTTAAATTCTTAGTAAAAAAAATAGCAAATATTTGTTAAAGATACGCCCAAAAATATTAGATTAGATCATTAAAGAAGAAAAACCCATCTATCAATAATATTTATACGGAGATTTAACTTTAGAAAAATTTAGTTGAGAGATTCAATCTTGTTCGAGATTCGATCCGATTTGATTTGAAATTATTGGAAGTCTTAAAAAAACATGATTGATTAAATTGTGCAGTTTTGAAAGCTGGGGAAGACAAAATTACAGTGACATGGGGGCTGAACCAGAGTCTCCCAGCAGGGACCGATTCGGCCTATAGAACCATCAAGGTCCAGTTATGCTATGCACCAATTAGCCAAGTCGACCGAGCTTGGAGGAAGACCGTGGACAATCTTTCCAAAGACAAAACATGCCAATTCAAGATCCTAAAAGGACCCTACACCACCACCAACCGAACTTCCGAATGGACCATCGAGCGAGACGTGCCGGCAGCCACATACTTCATCCGAGCCTACGCATTGGATGACGATGACCGCCAAGTGGCTTATGGCCAAACCAATGACGCCAAGAAATCTACCAACCTCATTGAAATCCAGGCCATCAGCGGACGCCATGTCTCGCTCGATATTGCGTCCGTTTGCTTCAGTGTTTTCTCGATCGTCGCCTTGACAGGGTTCTTCGTTACCGAGAAAATAAAGGGAAGAAAGGCTCAACAGTAGTTGATGAAAATATGCACAAATAAAATCAAATCAAATCAAACTTTTGGATGTGTAATTTGTGTGTTTCATGTTTTAGACACCCATTTTTGTCCGGGTTATTATTTATATTATTATTACTATTATTACTTTTATTATTAATAATAATATTATTATTTATATTATTATTATTATTATTAATTTTTATTTTCTTTTTCTTTTTACAAACCCAACAGGCCAATTACACCAGCCCAATTACAAATGGCCTAGATCGAAGCCCAACTCCCAGGCCCAAATAGAAACCCAGACTCGAGTCCAAATTGATCCAAACCCAGGCCTATTTCAAAACCCTAACCAATTAGGGTATATAACTCTAATCTTCTATAGCTGTCGCCACTGCTTGTTGTTGTTGCCGCCGTCGACCGCCTCTGACACCGTCATTTCAATCTACAGTGACGAGAAGTCATCATCAATAGTAAAAATAGACCAAATCAAACAATTAAAACAATTAAAAATAAATTAAATCCCAAGGAAATCGGGGCTCTGTCACAAGAAAAAAAAGGGCACTCATACCCTATTCTCTCGGAAAACAACAAGTCATCACCAAAATCAAAGGGGCACAAAGATAAAAAGGAGGATTTCAAAGAACAAAAGAAAGAGGAGAGAGAGCAACAACCACAAAAGGATTCGAGGGGGAGAATAGAACGAGGAGGAAAAAATTTCAAGGGTTCCTATTCGGAAAAAAAGACAAAAAAGAAAAAATCGAGAGAGAGAGGAAATGAGAGCTTACCACCTGAAGCCGCGTATCTCGCCACCAGAGGAAATAGAAACCACCAGAAACCGAAGGTAACCCCTTCGTTTCCCTTAGATCAAGGACGCTAGGGTTAGTTTTAGGTTGAATGAGGTGTATTTTTGGGTTAAGTGTATGACGGGCATCATTTTGGGTAGCTTTTTAGAGATCCAGCCGCAGTGGACGGCGGTGGAGCTCTCTGGTGAGCGGTGGTCGAAGACCATTGGCCTCCCCCGGCGAGGAGGGAAGAGAGAAGCCAGAGAGAAGTTATATTCTCTCCTTCTAGAGAAAGAATAAAAACGAGAAAATGAGAAGTTTGGGCCATTTTCGGCCGAATTTTGGGTATTTATACTCTATTCCATGTGACATCGTTTAGGGGGAGAGGTTCTGTGTTTTGGGCGCGTGGTAAAATTATTCCCGTATCCCTTGTAAATTGTAACTGTCATTTTGGTCACTGCAATGAAGTTTCATTTATTTTAATTTGGATCTCAAGTTTTTCTCCGTTTTTATTTTAGTCACTGCCCGTATTTACATGTGTTTTGGGTAAATATATGTTTTAGTCCTTAGATTTTAATGATTTCATTTTAATCCTAGATATTAATGATGGTTAAATAACTATCCCAATACCTAGCTTGTGTGATGTTTCTGATTATGGCCATTACTTTTGCTTGGTTTATAGTTTAGTCCTCAAATTTTAATATTTTTTATTAATTTAGTCATGAATAATGATGTTGGTATATTTATGATTCTGGTGCCTAATTTGTACAATATTCACAATGGTTACCTTAGGCTTTAATGATTTTGCTATTTGGCCTTTAAAGTTTCTGTATTTTTGTCATATTTTAGTACGGTCTAATCAACTTGTGTTGTGGTGTGTTTTAATATTTTCTTGTTTGTTACATACTATTAGGAAGCTATTAAATGTGTATGAGTTCGATCATCATATGTATATTAGTATTTTCCTTTTTAGAAAATATATATTAAATATTATTTTGTGCGAGGAATTTATAGAAACACGCCTTAACTAACAAGGAGTGTGTTTCCAAGAATTGTTCGAACAAAATAATACCTTTTATATATTCGAATGAATTTTTTTAGTACTATATTTAATACATGTATTTTATCTAAAAATTTGGGTAATATTATTTTGTATTAGGAATCCACGGAAATGCCCCCTTAACTGACAAGGAAGGTATTTCGAGAATTGTTCGTGCAAAATAATAACCCTTATATTTTTTTTTCTAAAAAGGGATCATAATTTAACTGTATATTCGAATTTACCAATTTCAATATTTAGATGATGTAAAATCACTTAGGTACCGATTTTGGGCGTTGTGGGGGTGCTAATCGTTCCCCACACACAATCGACTCCCGAACCCTTTGTCAAAATGATTTTTGGTTAAACGCATATAATTTTTCATCTTTTAAAATTATTTTTCTTAAAATTATTTTAATAGGTAATTTTAGGTATTCGACCTACCTAACCCAAAGGTTGATGGCGACTCCAAATCTATTTATTTTTTCTTTATTTTAAAAACCAACATTTTCCAAAATTAAGTTGGATCGATCCCAGCCATAGACCCAAAAAGCTCGAGGACCGTTCCGACAGCTTGGCGACTCCGCTGGGGATGTATAGAGAGTCAAGCCGTAATAGATTATGCGTCATCTTTTTTCGTTGAAAATGGTAAATTTGAATGATATTTAAATTTTTATCCTCATATTTTGTTTGCATTACATCGTACATCTTTTATTTATTAGTGTACTAATGTGTGTTTTGCTTGTTTCAAATTTTTGACTTTTGTTTTAACATGTTGATTTTTTTGGATCGAGGCAAAGGCTTGTGAGTTCCCCTTAATCGCACTATAACTTTTTGAGTATTTAGAGACTTCTAACTGTGCTATGTCTTGTTAGGTAGGGGTAAACGCTACGCTTATATAAGAAAAGTATTTTTTTTCTCCACATAGGCTTTAGCAAGTAACCTCTGGGGTACATATACCTCCTGTTTACGAGTGAAACATTGAGTTTCCTCGTATGGATAGGGGAAATGCATCATTTCGAATTGAACTCAGTCCGCTTAAGCCTATAATGGGTGAGGATCGAGGGTCTGGCAAGCCCAAGGGGGCACCAGTAAAGGACAATTCGAGGACTCTTTTAGTAGTACCGAAACTCTACCCATTTCATATTGAATTTCTATTCGATGTTCTTCAAAATTCACGAATGGGAAAATTGCTTAAAACTTTCCTCGGACTTATTTATTTATTTTGCAAAAAGCATGAGAACTAGAAGAGTAAGCGGTTATGTTTTTTTTAAACAAGCATGCGAACTAGATGGCATGAGGTTAGGATTTATATGTTGAATAAAGCATGGGGGTAGAAAACATGTCTAGGTAGGACTGTTATAAAATCATGTCAGGGTAGATTCCATGTTGGGTATGATCTTTTCCTTTTGCAAATATTTATTCTGCTTTTTGGTTAAAGGATATTAACAATCTCTTTTGTTATATCTTATTTTTATCTACCTTATGTTTGCATTTGCATTTTCACATCGTAATCAAACCAGGTGTTAATTCACAAGTGATTGATCTAATCAGGAGGCTTTCATATCGACATAAGAGTTCCATAACCAGGTAATCAAAACCGTAAGGGCGACGACTTACAAAAAAAGTTGATGGACGAGAGAAGAGCTCAAAGATCGATCAATGATTCCTATTAAACAAAGATCAAGATGGTATCAAATAGTCAGATGATAGTTGAATCAAGAATGAGAAGATTCTTCACAAGATATCAAGGCCGCTTTCCTCTTGAAGAATCCCACGAAAATGGAAGTCTAGAGATCCAACAATCACGATATGTGAAGTAAAACGAAGAAATATGAGTCAACACTTTGAGGAGTCTAATAATGACTACAAAGACAACATAAAATCTTGAGAAAGGCCTAGATCAAGTAAATGAAGAAAATGAAGCCCGTCTGTCTAGTGTAAGGAGCACTTATGGTCTGATAAAGATTTTTCTATGGTGATTGCTTTTAGAATTAACACCTTGTGTGTTTGCATTTGCATTCTGGTTTTGCATTAGCTTATTAATTTATTTTGATTGCTTTTACAGTAATTCTTGTTTGTACTAACGTGTTTTTATGTTACTTTTCCTTTTGCTTGCATTGCATGATCATGACATAATCAAGGTGTTGATTTGTGAGTGGTCATCAGAGTAAAAGGTTTTCATAATGGATAAAGGGTTTCATGATCAAGTAAACTATAACAGTGCTAGGGAATGACATCTTGAGTAAACTACGAGGATAGTGGAGAGCCATGCACAAGACCATATGCTTGATGAAGAGGAAGAGGAGATAGAGAGATAGAAGCCATACGTGATGGTTTTCAAAGGATCACTCAAATATTTAAAAATGTTTGTATACCACACAAGAGTGGACAACATGGGTCACTAAACTGAAAAAACAATGTTGAACAATGGAGAAAGAATTGAAAGGTGCATGAAGGTTGAGCCAAGAAGTTCTCTTATGATTTAAAGATTGCAGAAGAAAGGCGCAATACATTCGTCGTCGATTTGTGAAGATGTCAAGCCGAAAATCAGATGTTGAATATATATATAGCCAGCATGGGAGCTTCATATCAGTGCCACAAGCGTGAGACTGATACTGAGCTAGAAGCCGCTAGAGCCAGAAACAAGACATTGATGAAGATTGTAGATGATTATAGAGATATTGCACGAGAACTTCGTAAGCATAAATACATTCTTACAAGGAAGAATGAACAACATTATCTACAGCTCCAAGAATTGACACAGAAGATGAAGGAAAAAGATGACATCATACAAGAAACTGTTGCCCAAGCAAGCAATGTGGCTCACAAATTGGTTGATTTAGTTGGCTTTACAAGAGAATTGAAGCAGATTGACAACTCAACACCTTTGTATGACTGGAAGTTAACTTGTCTCTTTTGAGAAAGATAGAGAAGTTAGGAGTGAAAGCTAGCCTTTATATGTAAAGTTTGCTTGATGTATTAAAACCTTTGTTTTCAATGAAAGTTGTTTTAAGATGGTCACTCTGGAATGAAACCTTTTGCATATATGCAATTGCATCATATTTGTTTATTTAAGTATTTTTACATGCATTCGTTATGAAACATGAAAATAATTTACGAAGGGTTTTGTAATAGTAATACAAAGATTATTCTTTCATACTATAGTCTCATCATCATGAACAAACAAATGGAAACCATAGAGCAATCTCATGAGGAATCACAAGATCGGTTGCAGGAGTAGTTGACTGGGTTATAACGA